ATACATACTATGCCTTGTATTTGGCCATTAAAAATCATAATGAGTCTATTTACTAGTGAAATATCCAGAAATAAGTCTTAAATATATGAAAGGGGGAAAAATGGTTACCGCTTGTAACTCCCTATGCTACCACCAGGGGGAGTAGTGTTTCTTTTGTGTTTTTGTCGAGCTGCAAACACAGACATGCAAACGTTTTTTATATTATTTTATTTAACCTTTATTTGACCAGGAAAGTCCCAGAACCTCTTAATCAAGGGAGTCCTGCAGTAAAGAACACCATTTCACTAGAGAAATACTTTTGTTTTAAAAGGCATACAACTACTCTGAGTGTGATGTCATAGTTGTACTTTGACATCATCCTATTACAGGACTGCGTTGTAACATCAACAACTCCAACAAGTTGATTTTGTATGATATGTCTCTAACAAATCAGACCACATGTCGTCTTTATCTGATTAGTTACCATTTTGTAAATTTGTGAATTTGGTACTGTTTGACACTCTAGGTTGCTAGCTGAAAAACCTGATTTAAAGATGTGACCGAGGCCAAAAATGCATGCATGTTAAAACTAATGATACAACCAAACTGTTTGGCCATGCATTTTATAAGAGAGTTCCATTTATTGTGGTCTGAAAATTTGGTACACCAGCTTTATGTATTACTCTGATATGAGTGTGTTCACAGTTAAGTGTCAATTGAAGTATCTCGACTTTAAAAGGTTATAACTTAAAAACTAAAATTACTATCATAGATTGGAAAAAAAGATTTCAAACACAGACACATCAAAGAGATAGTGTGGATAAAATCAAAAGGAAAGATTGTCAAATATATTTTTGGTGACATTTTAAACGACAAAATCAGCTTCTCTTTTTTGACCATTCTACTGTGACGCCGGTTACATAGAAAATAAAATGTCCTCAGTCTGAAAAAGCGGCAGATGAAATCCCACAAGATTATTATGGTTAACACAACATCAGGAAATCACTTGATATGAAAAGGAATCGTTAAAAAATAAAAAATAATTAATTAATTAAATGACCCTTGAAAAATGTATAACGGACGTGATGGTTTCCGTCCTCTTTTCTCTAAAATTTAACTTGAGAAAGAAAAAAATCTTGTCTGGTTTCACATTTAATTGCTTGACTAAATGAAAGTATCACTTTGTTTCTACTCTGTGTAAAAAAATAGAATCTCTGAATCAATTGTGGACATCTGAAAATACCTATCAAACTTCCGCAAAGCTCATTCCGTCAAATCATCACGTCCGTTAGATAAAATAAACAGGGCTGCTATAGGAAACTTGTCTAATGTATAAAACAGTTATGTTCTAGCAACTTCCAATGAACAGAGGAGGTGCTTGGAAACATGAAAAACATAAAATATCTTCTGATTATTAAAATCTAATTTTTGGCCTTTTGTCACACTTTTGTGCCCTTTAGTGTGAACAAGCCCGTATTGCATAACATAACTTGCTTTCTAAGTACAATTTTGCTTACATTTTCACAATTTTTGCTTATTATCAAGTGGAGAGGACATGTTTGTGTATGTTAGTTATAACAGTAATATAATAATTAATAGACATAAAAAATTCTAGTGAACGTCTATTTATTAAAACACAATTGTGCAGAAATACCACATTACTAGGAAGTACAGTTGGTGACACTTGACTCACGTATTGATTGATTGCATCAGTTTTAACTATGTATAAAAGCACTGTTCCATGTTAGTTGTTAAAGTTAGAGTTACTAATTAAAAATGTGGTTTGGAATAATAATTTACCTGGCCGCACAACATTGTCCAAAAGCAACTCAGCTTTGATTTGTGACATCAATCATCATTACTGCTGCTTACAAGTGAATAAAACAAAGAGGTAAAACACCTGCACTTCTGCAAATGATCAAAGCCTCCATCCAATAGGACATTAAACTTTTTTTTAAATCTGTGTCTTTTTTGTCTATCCTTTATGTTTTGATTGATGCCTGTTTGTTATTTGTTTGTTGCAAAGGAAAAATATTTGGCGTAATTTTTTTAGGTAATTTAATTGTTGGGTTGTCAGTACAAGAAAAAAAAGCAAATAAAACATAATATATGTATAAAAAAAAGGATGTTGAATTTTAATAACACATGGATTTTAGTTTTCAGTTGTGATGTGTTCTGGCTGTAACTGGGCAGCACAGACTTTCAACTTTCTCCACAGATTTTCGTATTGGGTTGAGGTCTGGGGACTGACAAACCCATTCCAGGACCTTGAGGTGCTTCATTTTCATGCTGAAAAACTCAGCCAGGTTTTTTCTTCAATACGTCCATTGATGGAGAATTCATACATGACATAAAACAGATCAGTCGTCCTATCCACTTAGCCAAAACCCAGCCAAGTCACAGTTGATCGCAGAAGAAGGGGCCAAAGTACCAGCTACAGTTCATAGAAATTTAGTGAAGACCTCCAGGAAATATTAGATCTCTGTAATTGCTTTAAGTATTGACTTGAACTTTTGTAATGGGTCAAATTATTTTTTTCTGCTCTCTTGTGCAAGTTATTGCACGCTCAGCAAATGTCAAATAGAAATCCCCCCTATCTTTTTTTTCTCTCAGTCCAATACCCAATGTGAGGTTTGTTGCAAGTTACAAAAGTACTGGGAAGCATCTCCGACTATCCTTTATACCAGAGGTGCGCAACTGTTTTAGTAACAGGCCCTAAACTAAAGTAACTAAAGAAGTTATCCAGGCTTGTCCAGGGACGAAAACCTAGAACTGTTTTGAAAGGATTTGGGCTGTTCAGAGCTTAAAGATTAACTATTAAAAGAGCTGAAGTTGGCTGAAAAAAGATACTGTAGATAGATAGACCTTTATTGTCCTCTGAGGGAAATAATTTTTTACAGATACTGTGACATACATCAAATCGGGAGTAAGGAAGTTACAATACACACAAGATACACAAAATACCCAGAAAGAGACACATGCAATTTTTTTCTGTTTTCAGAAAAAGGTTTACCATCTCACGAGCTACATCAGCACCACATTTAATTGTAAGATTTTGTTTTTATTTTATTTGGATATCTACAGTATAAAACATTTAATACAAAAAATAACACATGCTGGGACTAAAAAAATCATATATATTCACAAAATAATATGTATGGCTCCCAAAGAAGTACAGTACGTGTAAAAGGATGAGACTTTTTTGTCTCTCTCAACTAAAACGCTTCCCTACCTCTGTTCTAAAGGTTCTGATCTTCATATGAAGGAACAGCATGGCTCGGCTAAAGTTGGCTGGATGATTGTGTGCTTATATCAAACACTACTTCCTGGTAACAAGGCAGAGAGCCCATGTCCCTTACTTAACACATGCATGCTTTAGATCTTTCAAAGCCAAATACATACAAGCATGTTCCTTTTCCATAGTCATCTATTTCTCCTTTTTAATTCCATCAGCATTTGCCCGAACAATAAAATAAATCATTCTAGTGTATGTACAGGCGTCGAACTTGCCCTGAACTTGCATGGAATAGAAAAAGGCATTGATGTGTAGCTCATTAGCATCTGTTTTCATACGCTCGCCGTGAATAGTCTGTGGCTGATGCATATGTATGACTGAGTCTGTTACGCAACAAATGGTCCAACCGGGACGCACTTGTGTAATTATATCTTCATTCAGTGGGCTCCCCTGTTGAACGACTGGATTATTTCTTTAATGTCGTCAGTCCTGGTTATTCCACGCACGCACACACACACACACACATGCACAGACCTTGAAGAGGATTTGATAATTACATTTAATGCAGGTTTAATCTGGGTCATATTGAGTTGCGTGGGCTGTTTGCTCCCACGAGATGATTTAAAGAGGCAAGAAATTGGTAAATGTAATGGATTAAAAGCGTGGCGAGAAAATGTGAGGCCTTAAATATTAATAATTACCATTGATTAGTTGTTAGTGGTTGTTTTTACAGCACCTTTGCTTGGCCCCTGGAGGATATGGAGAATTGTAAGATCAATTAAAAGCAGTTGTATGTATTTTTGCGTGGGTGTTATGGTCATTAAATCAAAAAGGTCAAAACTATGTCAGAACATGCTCAATAAAGAAAAGTTTGCATAAACATAATGAGCAATGTTTTTCATTGTTTAATGTTTTCATTGCCAGTAATGAAAGTCTTGTTATGTTTAATTATTGTTTTGAAGGTGAAATGACAATTTACAAACCTGAAGGTCAAGGTAAAATGTTAATGTACATAAATATACCCTGACCAGCCAGAACCACTTGATTTCATAATAGTAACAGTATTATTTATATTATTCAGCTTTAAATGTGTAGGCTTCTCCTTCTAAATCATTCAGCAGGACATTTAATATGTATTATCATAACGGTTCATTATAATCGAGGATTTTTGGCTATTCTTAAAACACTTTAGGGAACAGCTATGTTTGTATTAGTTTGTATGTTTCTCATTTAAGGCAAAATACCAGACTCAATTCTCGATATTGAAAATAAACATAAATGTTTTGATATAAAAACCATGCATGAATCACTTGAAATAAACAAAAAAAACACTAGGTGTTTATCAGAAAGGTCAGAGACTCTTCTCCTTGTGAAGTCTGAGGTATTTGGATGTGAGCAGTCAGATGTTGCACATGTTTTACCAGTCTATAATTTCTAGTGTCGTGGTCTTTAGGGTTGTGTATTGGCGGCAGTTTGACCTAGAGAGTAACCAGCTCGACAGGCTGATATTTCTCTGTGTGTTTCTGTGATGGGGAGCTGTGCTGGATAGAAGGATGAGGGCTCTCCTGTAGGGCATCCTGGGTAACTCCAGGCACCCTCTGCTTAACACTATGGCCGCTCAGAGGAGTAACTGTAGCAACAGGGTTCAATCATTGCACTGCAGAACGGAACATTTTAAGAGATCTTTTGTTCCTTCGGCTGTCTATCTATCTAACTATCTATCCATCCATCCATATGACCAGGGAAACTATAATAACAGTTAAAAGCTTGTTTGGAGAATTCTCTTTTACAACCACCCACAGCCACAAAAACCACAAGAGACCTCTGCAGGGAACTTCATGGAGCATTCTGTTTTAGGGGGTGGGGGCTTCAGCTGTGGGGGCTTCTGCTGCGGCCTGGAGGTGTTCGCAGAAGTTCCAGTCCCGTCATCCATCATCATCTCAGCCTGCACATGCTCTCTCAGCCTGGGGAGTCAGGGTAAATTAACTGTGGTGGATTGGTAAATGAGGTAGTTGGGGAGTTTTAGTGACTTAAATTGATGTTATTGAGGAAAGGGAATGCTGTTAGAATTGGTAGAAGTGGTTGGGTCCACTCAGAAAAGCGTTGGTTTGATCTATTATCAATCATCCACATCACAACTGAAATCAAACAAAGACAACAAAGTATATAGCAATGCCAAGCTGACGCAACACAATCGAGCCTATCATGTCACATATCACTTGGAAAACATGACAGTACATAAATAAGAGCAAACTTGAACGAACCATGGAGGAGCGTATAATTGACAGACTGATGAAAGACAAGAGTGGCTGCGTTCATCTCGATAACCATCTCTCCGGTTGGCGCGCTGAAGTTACAAATGGCTTTTGATTAAAGCACTAAACGACAGCCTTATCAAGCGGCGTTTATGATGATGAATCAACGGCACGGACAAATGGACCTTCATTACATTTTATTCGACAAAGATCAGCTCCGGCGATCACAGCTCAGGGTTAGAGACTTGACATGTCAATTCAATTCAATTAATTTTTGTATCACCACAGCAGTTATCTTGGGGGGCTTTACAAAACCCTTGATTCGCCAACACAGATCAGAGAATCAAACAGTTCAAACACAAGAAATGCAACGGTAAAAAACACATACAGTAGAGCCATTGGGCCATAAGAGGTAGACGACCAATGTCCCTAAATGTCGTTTCATGTTGTGTGTCCTGGATCATCACCACTGTCCTTGGCCCCTTCTCTTACCTCTTATGAGAAAGTACAAATGCTGCAGCTCTTCTTCACCCATCGGAAAGGTCACTACTCTTTCGACACATTTTCCCTGTTGCGTTTCTGTTACGGTACATGGAACTATAGCATGTTAATTTGTGGCAATTTGTCGGCCACTTTTAATCCGAGAAATTGGATTCTGTTTTTGAAAGCCAGTGCTGGAAACTGTGTAGCATGGAGCATTGTGAAATTTGCATTAGTTGACAATGCAAAGCTTGTTTCAAAATGGGACAAAAACAATTAACCTGCAACAACATTCGTTTGATTAAAGTGAAAGTAAAAGCTATGTGCAGTGTTTTGTAAATGCCCTGTGGTCAAAAGTTTTATTACCATGAGTGATCTAATTTTGCCAAAATGTGCAGTATAATAATGTGTAGAAATAGCATGTAGAAATTCATGATACTGTTAAAATAAAAATAAAAACAATAACAAATCCTTGAGCATCTACTATGAAAAAAACTAAAAACAACTTTGGGTGAATACAATTGAGAAATGCCTTGACTAATATTGATCAGTAAACATACCTACAGTACATGTAAAAGCCAGATCCTGTCAAACCTCTGAAGATGCGCAGGGCAGGGCCTGGTTAGTACTGTGTTAAGCTTCTTTGAGTGTTCTGAAAAGTGCTATATGAAACCGATGCATTATTATTATTATTATTATTAATCCTATGTCCTCATACGGATTGCCAATATTCTGCATTTTTTTCGGGATTAATGCCAAATTCCAATGCAAGTTTCGTTGTTGCATCTGAAAATATAGTAGGAATATGACAGCAGCTTCTACTTGTAATTGTACAATTTAACACTATTACTAAATTGGACATGGAAATGTACAAAAAGGCATGTGATTGGGATCAATTTAAACAAACTGAAAGTCGGCTCTATGTCAAATGATTCTCTGAGAAAAAACTTGGCTTCCAAGTTTACTGTATATGTGGTGTGTCGCTAAGTCTGGAACCCCTTTCATTTGTTCTTTTTGTGTCCTCTTTGTTAGCCTCACTAATAATGTCCGTGTTGGCCTCAGTCACTCTAGATGTGTTGAAGAACAGGAAATAGAAGCAATGTTCAAACATGACATCAGTCTGGGTTGTTCCAAACAATGTGTTATTTTCCATTGCAATGAATGGGTGGACTCGGAGCTTGTCTGAAAAGGTCACTACAAAAGTTATGTTGAAATATATGTTTAGTGATCTACACTGCAAAAATATGAGATCATAATTGCTTAAATCATTTGCTTTTAAAATGTGAGTACATTATGATGTCTTAAAAGAACTGTTGCATAATTTTATCATTCCAAGGGAGATATTTCTTGTATCATGTTATCTTCCTATTAGAAAATCTTGTTTTGAGGTAGTCAAAGTGTGCTCAAGATTAAGATACATTTTACCAAACGTTAGCAATTTTGGTAACACTTTACATTACGGGCCGGTAAGTCCATGGTACTTACAGTGGTACTTCTAGGTACTTATTGTGGTACTTAAAGAGGTACTTACAGTGGTACTTCTAGGTACTTATTGTGGTACTTACAGTGGTACTTCTAGGTACTTATTGTGGTACTTACAGAGGTACTTACAGTGGTACTTATTGTGGTACTTACAGAGGTACTTACAGTGGTACTTATTGTGGTACTTACAGAGGTACTTACAGTGGTACTTATAGTGGTACTTACAGTGGTACTTCTAGGTACTTATTGTGGTACTTACAGAGGTACTTATTGTGGTACTTACAGAGGTACTTACAGTGGTACTTCTAGGTACTTATTGTGATAATTCTAGATACAGCTGTAACTTAGTAATTCAAGGATACTACAGCATTATTCCTATGTTGTAGTAAATGTGGTACTTCTACATACATACATACATACAGAGGTCATTTGTAGGATTGTTTGACTATAAAACATAAAACAACATTATGTAAAACAAACGTCTTTATTAATATGGAATAAGTAGCACAGAAAGGACAGTATAAATACATTTAATGCATATTTCAAAACAAGTTTCAAGGACAAGGGAAACACTGCAAGAACTAGGTACCCAACCCAAGTAACAAGAATTACACATTAACACACCAGTAAGACTTGGCAGCAAGTACCAGGTACTTGGCAGCAAGTACCAGGTACTTGGCAGCAAGTACCAGGTACTTGGCAGCAAGTACCAGGTACTTGGCAGCACAGTAAGTACCAGGTAGTACCTGGTACTAGCCACAGACAAAGGACTTGGCCACATACAAATGACTTGGTAATATGTCAAAGACTTCACCATAAGTACCAGTGATAACACCAGTAATTATACAGCAAGTACCAGGTACTTACCATAGGAACTGGCCCATAATAAGACAAAGGACTTACCCATAAGTACTAGTGATAATACCAGTAATTATATAGTAAACCATGTACTTACCAGCAAGTACCAGGTACTTACCAGCAAGTACCAGGTACTTACCAGCAAGTACCAGGTACTTAACAGCAAGTACCAGGTACTTAACAGCAAGTACCAGGTACTTAACAGCAAGTACCAGGTACTTAACAGCAAGTACCAGGTACTTAACAGGAGACATTTAAATTAAGTGGGGGAGAGTTTAGAGGCTTGGAAATAGAGCAAAATGATTAACAGGCACCCCTCATTTTTATTTTGTTATTGAGAACTTTATTTTTGTTTGTTTAGTAGCTATTCATGTGATTACTACAATCTCTATATTGTTTTAAGTGCAGTTCCTCCCGTGACCAGTAGTTGGCGCATATCGCGCAGAGTGGGTAGAAAGTAGACTGAGCGCTGCAGAGGAAGAATCAATCCTCTTGAAGTAAACGCAGCTCAACGCATGTGCTCTTGTCTGTACTTTTTATCACAGGTTGGTAAAACGTTAAAAACACATGTTGATGCCAATTGTTAGAGTTATCAGGTGTCTTAGGAGTGTATTGTGAACCATGGTAATGTGTAGAGTGAATTTTGTGTGATGGTTTGTGTGAATATGTGTCTCGTTTTTTTTATGCTAACCTGCGAAGCTAATGGTCATGGTAGGGAAATTGCGACGTGGATAAACTTGAACCCCACCACTTTATGGTACAAGAACCACATGAGTAGTGGCATTTGTGAACATTTATGAAACTTATTTCATGTAATACTGTTTTGTTGAGTTTATTTGATTGTTTAAACAATTATCAGTAGACAGTATTGTAAGTGCAAAAAAGCACATGGTCCAGTTCTGAGTCTGGTGCCACCTTGTGGACAGACAAGCACCGAGAATAATTGAGACTATTTCTTTGTTTTTTTTTGTAAATTCAAATATTAAAAAACAGTAATTAATTTAATGTAAAAGCTGTGGATATGGAAAAAAATGTAAAAGTAAATGTACATTTTCTGATTGATTGCAATGGTTTTTAATGGTTTTTAAATGTCTTAATGGTCTTGGGCCTTCTTATCTTTCAGATTTGCTTTTATCCTATGAACCTTCCCGGCCCCTGCGCTCCTCCGGCAGCAGACTCCTAACCATCCCCAAAGTCAGGACACACACTCACGGCGAGGCATCTTTCCAGCACTACGGCCCCCGTCTCTGGAACAGTCTGCCGGAGGAGCTCAGGGCCGCAGAGAACGTTCATATTTTTAAAAGTAGGCTCAAGACGCACCTTTTTAGAGTAGCTTTTGATTAGTTTTTATTATTCCATTCTATTTATCTTTTATTATTTATTATTTATTATATTGCTATTGCTATTATTCATGTATTGTGTGTTCCTTTTAGTCTCACATTTTAGTGTTTTACTTATTGTATTTTTTTTAGTGTACCCAGTGTTTCCTCTGGAGGAGCCCTCTGCACCGGGAGCAGTGGTCGGTGTGGCTGCGGGGGTCGGACTCTTGGGCCTGGTGGGGGCCTGGGGCCTCGGTTTCATGTCTCCTCTGGGTCCTGTGTCGTCCCCTGTGGCTACGGGCGGCTCTCTGCTCCTGGTGCAGACGGCTCCTTGGATGACGCTTTTTCAGCTGGTTGCATCTGAACCCTGCCAAGTCTCTCATCATGTTTTTATTGTTTTACTGGTGTGTGTGTGTGTGTGTGTGTGTGTGTGTGTATGAGTGTTCATGAGCGCGTGTGTGTGTGTTTGTCTGTGGTTTGGGGGGGGTCTGTTGGGTGGTCTGGGGGAGGGGTCTTGGGCCGGCGGGATTGTTTTTAACCAATCTGTAAAGCACTTTGTGTTGCATCTTATGTATGAAAAGCGCTTTATAAATAAAATTTGATTGATTGATTGATTGAAATGAGGAAGAATCAATCCTCTTGAAGTAAACGCAGCTCAACGCATGTGCTCTTGTCTGTACTTTTTATCACAGGTGTTACTTCACGGAGGCATATGCCCTCTGAACCGCTAGTCAGAGGAGCAACACCAGACAGTAACTATGATTGTACCAAAAGCACAATAATATTACTATAGTAGTAGTGTTACCCAACTGGCTTCAGTCCGTGTTTGAAAGACCGCGTGTGAATGTGGGCCAATGAACCAGTCAGGACACTTTACAAAAGTAGGCCTCAGAATGCTCAGCGCGTTCTGTCATTGTCGCTAATGCAAACTTTCTAA